GAAGGGCGCTGCTTGGGTCTGTCCTGGGCGGGGGAGGGGGACACTGTGGCGTTGGCAAAGGTGAATCCGTGGAGGTGAGGCAAAGCCAGGTCCAGTGCGGATGGATGCAGGCTCTTCTGAAATCACAGATGTTTTCCTCTCTGCCTCTTGGGGTGAACGCCGGCGCTCAGGCGGCCGCCTTCTCCGGAGCTGCTGCTCTCTGCAGCACTTTTCCTATCTTGCACCACCAGCACGCCAAGTCTCCATGTCAACTTGTCCTGTTTACTCGCCTGTTTTTCTGAGTTGCTGCCACTGCATGTGTGAAGTCTCTTGGCTCTAGCTTGACAGTTATTTTCGTATCAGTTTATTCTTATCTTGTTAATCTAAGATTTACAAAATTTATGCATAACTTAATGTCACAAAATTAAAAATTAGGTGGGTTAGTATTATTGGTAGACTCCAAATTTCACCTGTAGCGATAAGGGATAAAAGATGGTACTTCTCTGTCCACAGCCGAGGCCCAAGACACAGTTATTGGCAGAGAATATGCAAAAAGTGCTTTTGGGGTTGTTTTAGTGATTTGGGGTTTTTTTAAGATTGCTTGTCCTTCTCTCCTCTCTGATGCTCACAGGTCTTTCCTCAGGCTGTTGGAAGGAAGAGACTGGTGTCCCAGTGCTAGGACAGGAATGCAGAGTATTTAAAAGCAGTGTTTCCAGCACTAGTTTTCAAGCATTTTCATATGTCTGTATTGGTAATATTTCAAGGCTGTGGAATCTGCCTAAACCTGTCCCTGAGATGTAGCATAAGCAGGAAATTAATTTCCTGGGCCCAGTGCTTAGTACAGAGCTAATTTCCAACTTTTGTACAAAAGAGGAACTTGTGATGTGTTTTGTATGATCAGCTTCTCCTCTGGGTTCTTCAGTGGTTTTGGTTCCTCAAAAAAAATTAACCTAATACCTTTTTTTGTGTGTGTGTGCTCCAATTTGTGACAGTGCAGAAGACACTGCATTGTAGCTCTGCAGACTTCTGATGTGATCTTTCTTCTTTCCTTATTTATTTTGCTTATCAGTAAAAATAGTTAATGGCATTAATATTTATTGTTCTCGCTGGCTGTTTGAGAAGAACGAGGCAACTGAGACTTCTGAACAACTGTTTCAACCTTTCTACAGGCACGGACGGGCAATGTCCCTGGTGCTGTGTTGTTGCTGTTTGTAATGCTGAGGGTGAAGGATAAAGGCAAAGTGAATTAAGAAACAAAGACCTGAAATGAAAGTAGGGGTGATAGCATGTGTGATGCCCATGGGTATTTCTGTAACGTAGCTCCTGTTCTGT